TATGAATTTTAACAGTTATGCCAGGTTATATTTTTCACAATTCCTGTTTTTTTCGAGTTGAAATCGAAACTCTATATACTTCACAAGTGTTAGCTGTGTTTGATTTTTATTACCGTACGTAAACTCGCAATCTAACTGAGCGTGAAAACCGTTAAAAAAACTCGGACTGTCTATCTTGTTTTATCTTTGAGGATTTTTGTCTCTGCTCACGTTACAGTAACGTAAATTACTGCGCCTGGCATTTTTGCAAATCTTTGCTTGCTTGTTCCGAAATTTCACTTTTATTAACGAAAGAAAAGCTAGAAAGAAGTCCCGGAAAAGGTCGGACATAGTACGATTTGGCAGATGGCGTGACAGCTTTAGCTCAGTTCTATGCTCTATACTCTCACAGAGCACGCTCTTTCAACCAATGACAGTACGTGTTATATCCGAGCTTTATTATAAATGCTAATGAGAAGAACAATTCAGAACAAATGAATAAATGCTCACAATTCGAATAAATTGTGAACATTTATTCGGTCACTAAATAATGCAGACTAATAAGAACGATTGTGGCTGCTTTTATAAAAAGCGAGTTTAATGGCCGCTTTTTAAGGGACAAAATCAGCGAAAAGGCGAGTATAATCATCTGCACTACAAGTATGAGTGCACCTTCAGGAACTTTAGGCTCCAAAGTCCAATGCATTCTAACGTGAATCACTCGTGTATGTTCAAACTGGTCACGAGGGTAGGAATAAAAGTTCAACAACATATCTATTGTTGTAACAGCTCTGAGTTTGAAGGAAAAATGTCACCACCACACACGATTTTAGACCCCTGGTACCTCCCGTTTGCGCTTGGTGTTCGAGCTAAAATACCCCTACAGTCCAACGGCAGATTAATCATTCTACAGATATTGTTCAAATTTTCCAATCTTTACCCTACTCCTGCAACATAGGACTCCATTCCTCCTCTTAAACTGCTTTATTTCTCAATCCAGTCACGGTGATAAACGAGACTGCTGCGGAACACTCTGCCAGGGCACCAAGGACACAACATTTCGTGCGGGATGCGGACTTAACATGAAACGACAGAATGTTACGATAAGAACTTTGACCTGAAAAAAAAAAATGCACAAAGAAAACCGCTTTTTGACTCTCTTTCGAAAAAATATGCACAAAGAAAACCGCTTTTTGAATTTAGCAAAATTAACATTCTGCGGAGACACAGGAATAGGTAGTGGTTTTTCCCAGAGACACATTATTTTCGCTGGTTGGAACGGAATATTTGTATTCCTTGGGTTTCACAGGCTTTCCCACAATCCCAAATACATGGTCAATAAAAATAAGCTATTCCCTGTAACGGAGTTTGGGTTTCCTTTTGCCTTAGGCAGTTAAAATGTTTATCTCCTTGTGGTAACATCTGCGTGGAATTTAAAGTGAGGCTATCATGAAACAACACACACCACAATTATCATAAGTGCGAATGTCATCAACATGCTTTCTGATTTTGAAATTCGAAGGTAATATCTCCGCGGTAGCAAAACGTAATTCAATGAAAAAACAAGCAAAACGTCCAAACAATTCCGCTCTAATTAATGAGCAGAAAAAGAAGTGTAGAACATGATCTAACTGTAAAGTTACTGTTTAATTTCAATTCCTGGGCCTTGGTCGCGTTTCTAACGAACCGAATCAGGACGCTGCCATACCTCTACAACAAGCACCAAGATTGATTTGGGTCCAATTGTTACTGGCCCCTCCAATTTTGCTTGTTCCTGGATCGGTACATGGTGTTCCCCACAAGCTAAAGGAGAGGAAAGCCAAACAGGCTTACTACTATGACAGAGGTGCCAAACAGCTGAACAGATTGAAACCTGGAGATGTAGTGTGTGTGAAGCTGAGACCTAACTCAAAGGAGTGGACAAGGGCTGCTGTTGATAAGGAAGTTGACATTAGGTCATATCAGGTCCGTACAGAAGATGGTCGTACCTACAGGAGGAACCGAAGACACCTCAGACAGACCAGAGAGCCGTTCCTAAGAGCAATATTTGTGGAGTCTTCAACCGACCTTGCACAGCAACAGCAACCAAAAGGAGTAGTCCCCAGTGGCAATGTTGCTGCTCCGGAAGTACCAACTAGAAAGCCTGCTTCCGAAGTACCACCAACCAGAAAGTCCGTTTCTGAGGTACCAACCAGTTCTTCTGTCATTCAGCCAGAGTCAACCAGTGTGCGAGCGACTAGATCCAGTCTCAGTCCCTGCTTCTGGAGTCTCTACCAGTGCGCCAGCAGTGACTGTTACCACCACTAGAAGTGGCAGAGTCGTTAAGAAACCAGTCAGATATGACTCTTGAACAGTGATAGGACTTAAGAACATTGAGTAGGACTTTGGACTGTCACTAGGACTTATTTTCTTTCTAGCTAGCATTTCGTATTTATTTATTTATTTATTTATTTTTGTTGCCAAGGGGATGTGACGATATTTCGTTTGTTTTACATGAAGTATTCACCGCTGACATAAGCGTGTAACTCGGATGAAAGCGTGTTTGGTTGATTAAAAGTTGTGTTCACGTATCGAGTTTTTTTCCGCCGTTTTCTATCTTGTTTATCTGTAATCCGTCGCCCGGCCTTCCAACAACGTTACACTTTGCACGGTAGATATCAACTACGGTAATATACGTTGACGAAGACTGAGTCATGACGGCTTAGGAATAATTTTAATAACAAACCGAAAAAAAGGCTGATACTGCCTAGCACTTGTAAACATAAAGAGGGAGCCCGCAATGCATTGGACCACCCGTTTAATACGAGCAGATTTAAATGACTCGAGAGTGGTCCGCTGAACAGTAGTACCAAATCACTTTGAGTTGCCTTCGCATTTAATTCTGTGACCTGATGATCTAAAGGCTCTTTGCTGACTGGAATCTACAAAGGCGGTTAGATGTGAACATTGTTAAAATAGCCTAATAATCAAAAAGCATCCATGCTAACAAAACTAAATGACAACAATGCTTTAGTTTTGAAAGATATCTAGATTTTTCTAAAATTTTCCTCATAAAGTTAAATAA